TCGGTGAAACAAACGACGTGTTGCTTTATCAGTTTATCACTGGCTGTCTGGAAAATGGGCGTATTTACCAGAATCATCAGCAGGGATCCTAACTGATGTCATTTCTTCTCCTTTTCTTTTTCTAATCAGTCTTCCCTGAAGCTAATGACAGTTCGCTGCACCGTCCCGCATGATTTGTTTGCCTCATAATAACTAATATTTACTGTATGTATTGCTGCTTTACGGTAAGCCTTTTTGTCCTAAAATATGAATGTCTCATGAGCCAGCGACCACTAATTGGACATTTATTTTAACAGAGATTTATATTTTGGCTTCTGTTTCTTCKGTTCATCCTCGGCCTCAAGGCTTTTGTCTTTTCTGGCTCCACGGCGATCCAAGTGTAAGAGAAGAAAACTGCCAGTATCTCGTCAACACCAAGATGTTAATCTCATATAAGATGCTAATAATTAATAATCTGTGATAATTCTTTGCTCAAAGGATGATGCTAACTTGCTGCCAGCAACAGAATCAGAATTTGAAGGTTTTTGTTTTATTTTTGATCTAATTATAATCACTCAAAACCAACAAAAACCTCTCAGATATGCATGCTACTGCTAARTGCTCATTTCATTAAATATTTATCCTAATCCTTAAGATGTTTTAGGTCATTAAATATTATTTACTCTGTCTGCATGTGTTTGTTGCTTGTTTTGGAAAATTAAAAAATTGTTTCTGCAGGATGGGAGAATACATTATAAAGCCTGTATTTATTGTTTTTCATTGATGGTGTGAGCTGCCTAATACACCCCCATACCATCAGAGAGGCRGASTTTTGAACTGTGCAACTGTGKATTTCATGCACTGTGCTTCTTATGCTTGATCTTCTAACTTTGACACGCACAATAAACAGAGGACAGGAGTTAAATCAGGATATATCTGAAAGACAATCCTCCACACACACTCGGTTCTGGATCACGTGGATGAGAMGCCACATGTGAAACGGGCTTCTGCAGGTGTTGATACATTGATGCGGTGGGCGGCTCGGGACRCACAGCTTGAATTCACAGGAAMCAAACAGCGGGGAGGCATATATCTCTCAGAGGCTGAGGGGTCAGGGTGGGTGGAGCTGCGCATGTCTGTCACTGAGCTGGCCGGGCCCCGGGGCCTCAGACCAAACACAAACAAACTGCAACAGCTGGACCCTGAGACCTCAGCTACACACACACACACACATACACACACACACACACACACACACACACACACACACTGCTCATACACGGGTTGCATAAGAAAGTGTGTATGTACAAAGACCTTCAGTCCTCCTGTGAAAACATTCCTGCATCACAAGGTGTTAGTGTTAAATGTGTTAAAACATGATTTTACCAAACATTCAGAAAGAATACAAATGAAAATCTGAAAATTTTGCACAATCTGTAAAAAAAAAAAAAAGCAAACTTGTGTTGTAGTTTTGATAAGTTTGGTTAAAATAATACTATCTGTGCATTGTTTTAATGCCTGCATTTCTTCTTTTTTTCAGATACTCTGTTAGGTTTTTTT